ACTGGCTGGCCGGCTGGCTGGCTGGCTGGCTGGCTTGGATCACGATCGTAAAGACGTGAGAAATCACGAGCTAACTGCGATCAGATTTGGATGCTCTCTCATTCGGTCCGCTGGCATCTGTAGACTTATCATCTCGTGTCGTCGAGGCTACGAGTCCCGAGCCGATGACCACGTGTCCCGGGCAACGGACGATGGACGCCTCGGGCCGAGGTGTACGTGAGAAGCAGCATCAGCAGCATCAGCAGCAGGAGGAAGAGGAGGACGAGGTGACCAAAATGGTACCGGCCTGGAAGTTGGAGGCGCTGGAGAAGCGTCGGCAACGCGAGATGACCACCGACGTGGAACGACGCTGGGAAGAGGTGATGGCGAATGACGGCGAGGGCGCCCCCGACTGGCTGCGCGAGGCGGCCATGCGGCGCAAGGCGTCGTTGCAACGCGACACCACTTCCGGTACAGCTCCGTGGATGAACGAGGTGAAGCGGAAGAACGCCGGTCTCGCAAGGCGGATGTCTGAGGCCCAGGAGACCGACGACCACGTCGAGCCGAGTCCCTCTGTCCAGCCGAAACCGACACCGAAACCGACATCGACATCGACATCGACATCGACATCGACACCGACGCCGACATCGGCACCGGTGACGGCGAGAAAGGTGGACAAGTGAACTCACCTTTGATCAGTTTCTATCCCTTTCGGTGCCATGGCAACTGGTGCCTCAGTGCATGTCGTCCACTGGCACGCTTTTGAAGCGGCCGATTATTTTTGTACCTTCATCTCATCCAATCAGCTTCGCTCATCCTGTCCCCTAATCCACTGTCTATTAGCACCGCTTGTCTGTCTTCTCATCTGCCCTTTCGCCGTCTGGCGGGACTCGAACCTCATCCTCTCTTGACCCCAAGTCCCGTCAGCACAGGACAGACAGTGGCTGAGGCTGCCGATTGTGGCTCGGAAACTGGGAAAGATTGTACTTTTTAGAAGTTGTTTTACACTCTTTTCGCAACTCGGTCATGTTGGTAGGAAGACTTAGAGGAACGAACTTTGTCCGGAGTCCATTGTATGCATCATCATTTCCAGAGTAGGACCGTGGACGTGGAACATTCCCACGTGGTACATTGAAAAAAAGGTCAAACAACTTGTATACAGCGAAAAGAGACTGCGACCACACAAGAGGCCACCCCATCTTGGTCTTCATACCTTCGATTGTACTTTTTAGTAGGCTGTTGAGATAAGCAGTAGCTCTCGAATAGGAACTCTGTTCACCCCATTTCATTTTGGTGTGAGTAAGGACTGGTAAATGAATTTTCCCACAACCAGATGAGTGGGCCTCATGTTTCCAATACACTCAGCTAAGCTATGAAGACCAAGATGGTGTGTCCTTTTGTGTGGTTGCAGTTTCCTTTCGTTGTATAGACGTTGTTTGACCTTGTTTTCGCAGCTTGGTCATGTTGGTAGGAAGACTCAGAGGAACGCACCTCGTCCGGGGTCCATTGTCTGCATGATCATTTCCAAAGTTGAACCGTGGACGTGGAA